GATATAGAAAGTAGAGATAAGAATAAAAAATAAAATAAGATAAAATTCACGGAAAATGAAATCAAATATAGATAAATATATAGGACTGTATAGAGGATAAATATAGATACATATATAGGACTGTTGATTAGATAGATGTGTAGACCAGCAGATTTTTAGTTTTTTCCTCTTTAATATTATTATTATTTTTTTCTTCTTGCAGTGAGAGGCATTATTCTTGTTTTTCTTTTGGGGGGAATTGTTTGAGAACTGAGGTTTTATTTATTTCCTGATAAATTGGCTCAGGCATCTCTCTATGCATAGATACTGTATCGATGTATATTACGCTACATATATAATAATTTTAGCTCCTCACATTCCAGTGTCAAAAGTAACAAAGTAACAATAAAAAGTAGTATGGAAATATTAAAAATATGTTTGAGGTCATTTGGGGGTTGTCACCATTAAATAGTTTGTCCACCAGAGAGCACTGGTGAGTTTTTTTTTCCAGGCATAAAGTGTACTCCACAGTAAATCTTATCCTGATCAAAAATGAATATTATTGGTTAATTTATTGTTATCAGATTTCTTAAACTCTCATATTTAGATATTCGTTTCATACCTGATTTTAGCTTTTATGGAAAATCATTGTGCCTGTGGGCATATTTTTTTAATATAGCTACCATAATGTAATGGGGACCAGGCATTATGTTGAAACCTCAAGGGAGTCAGATGCTTTCCATATTTTATTCTGCAATATAAACTGATTTTCCCTATAATGTGATTAAAAAGACAAAAATATCTGCATGCTATAAAATAAAGCAGGAATTCATTATGTTTTGTTCACTGAGCATATTCTTTACAATAGGATGATTATTATCTTGAATTGTGTCCTATTTTTTAGGCAGTTTGCTTTACTGCATGAATATTTCATACTGGTAAGCATGAACCTCTGAATGGTAATCGGGTGCTGTTCTGTACTATATTCAATATGGCGACATATTTACTCAATGACAACCACACATACACAGAGATGAGTTTAATCTGAATTTATTACCTCCAATACATTGTTTTGTTGAGCAATGACAACTAGGCAGTTAAAAAAATACAGTACACTTAACTTAAACATTAAAGCATTATAAAGCATAACTATGGCATACAAGAATAACTTTCCTAAAATGTACATCTTTACAAAGTGTTTACAAATAAAATGTAAAAAAGACAGAAAAGTGCAAAACAGAGTCAATGAAGACTGACGATCCCCACCAGTGAAACAAAGGACAAAAATGTACAATGAAAAACAATACTTCATATTCCTAACTTGTTTTTGACGCACATCTCCTGATATTAACAGTAGGCCGTGATATTGTGCTTTTCAACTTTTCACGTGTTATTGTGATCTGGAACTTGTATTAAGCAGTGCGTGATAGAAAACCCACTTATGAAAATATTCACAGTATTTGATTCAAATTTTGTCTGCTTCCCTAAATCTGAGTAAAACCATCTTTTAATAAATACAATTGACTTTATTTTACAACTTGTCTGTGACTTGGAGTAATAGTGATGTGGGTCAAAATAACAATGATGCTTTCAAATAAATAGAACACATTTAGTGATTATTTTCAGGATAGTTTCAACAAGTGTGTGGTGAATGTTGGGTAGGTTTCAAGGGGGGAGTTGTATGAACTTTAATCAAAGTGAGTGACACCTATCTGACTGTGGCTTTCTTTCTGTGACTGTGGATGCAATATCAGTAGTGTGACAGTGTCCCATAACGTAAACAAACAGTAAAATATACACCAAGTACAGTACTGTAGTCTTTTAACTATCTCTCCTTAATGCTCTCCTTTGTGGTCCCTCTTAAAAAAAAAACGTTAAAATTAGTGTGATTTAAAAAAAAAAAAACAAACAAACATAATTTACTTATTTAGATGCACATTTCACTCTACATGATGGATGCTCCCAGACCATAATGCGTAAAAACATCTCCGATTTACTCACAGATTCAAAATAAATATGAAGTCCTACGGTTTCTTATAGATTATCTAAAATATCAGCATCTTCTCTTGATTTTAAAGCGCGATACCCTATTGATGACAAAGGTGGTAGGTAGAGTGAAATACAATAACTTCAAACAGACTTACAGGTCTAAGTCCAGTTATACTTAACCTATTGGATCTTGTAATAGCCGACATGTTTTCTTTACAATTGCATCCTTGTGTTACAATTATCGCTAATAAGCAGTTAAAAGTGACAATCTAGCCCGAGTAGCAAATCTGACGACTGCAAACTTGAACTGCTGCTTGTTCAGAGCTGTTTAAAAGTGTAAGCACAATTAAAAACACTAGCCATCACTGTGGTTCATCACTCCTATACAGGTTAAGATTAACTAGTGCTGTAAAATGCAGTTAAAATAACCTTAACAGCAAATTAAAAGAAAGAGCTTGGAGAGGTACTCCTGACATGGTGCGTCAAGATCCACCAAAGATCATCAGAGTTTTTTTAGGCTTGCACTTCGGTTTAACATGTTGGGCACAGAAGAGATTCTTCTCCTTACAGTCGGTAACAGATATCCTGAACTACTGTATCTGTACAACAGTTTCTTGGCACAAGTTCTCCAGCAGAATCAATTCTTACGACTCCAATTATCCCTACAAGGCTCACATGTAAAGCAATAAAATAATTTGAACTCCTTTGAACATTAAAACCCATTCAGTGTGCCTTTATTGCTAACGTTTCCCCACCAGATCTCTTTGAAACATACATGAGAAGACAGTTTGAACCTGGAAGTGCTAAGGCAGCTCACATGCAGGCTTTGATGTGGCATTTTGACTATTAACAGTAAGCTATTGTGTATTTTACATTGAAGCCCTGTAACTGAGAGTTTAGGTGTTCACATAAGTTGTTGCAAATATCTCTGCGATCAAAGAAATTGCTTCTGATCTATGTTGAGAGATGGGTTATGTTTGTTTTTATTCGTGAACTATGATGTTGAATGATGTAGGGCATTCAAGGCAAAGCAGCAGTGTCCCTTTTGTTGCTATATGCTGTATGTTTATATATATTTGGCTTGTAGTTGTCGTATAGACTCAGGCAAAGCTACTGGAGCTCAGACACTGAAACTTCTCCCTCAGAGACTGGACGATTTTGGGTTGGCTCTGCTGCGGCTCGTTCCACAGGTACTTTTCCAGCTGCTCACGGTCTAGAGACCTCAGCGGGTCGCAGGAGCGCACCGGTGTGCACGGCAGACTCTGGGAGTGGACAAGTCCCCGGCTCTGATTGGAAAGGACTGCCGAGCTGTCATTTCGCTGCGCCAACCTGTCCTGCTCCTGCTCGCACTCGTCCTCTGAGCGGATCTCTACATAGTCATCATCATCTTCCCCATTGTCCTTAAAATTAGCCAGGTAGTTCTGGGTAGCGTTGAGAATGCTTAGTGCTGAAGCCCGGTTCAGGACCACCACCTGTTGACCGTCGTGTAAAGTGAGGTCTGACTGTCCCTGAGTGGAACGCTCTGGGAGGCTACTCTGCCGACCAGCACGACCCAGACTGGGGCCATGGAGTCTGTCTGTGGATCGATCCACAGTGGGTCCGTTACATTTGAGTCCAGATTGGTTCTTCTCCTGCACCTGGCTGCCCAAAGAGCTGACTGACTGACACTGACTGGATGGGGAGGACTTTGAGGAGGGCAAGGACGGAGAGTTAAATGAAGGATGTCTCTTAATGGAACTGTACACGTGCTCTTCTTTTTCACTTGGGGCCGACATGCACGAGCTCCACCTCTGGGACGGTGGGCTGGTTGGAGAGGGAGGGATGGTCTGGAGAGAAGGGATGGAGCAGGAGGAGGTAAGCCTGCGATGCGGGATAGAAGACCCTCGAGCATCCTCCACCTCGCTGGATGAGGAGACAAAGCTGGCCAGCTCTCCGTTGCTGTAAGTGGAGTGGAGCCAGTCCTCCTCCAGTGAGGTCTCAGGCATTGATGGAGAAGATGGCAGCCCTGGATGGGTGTGATGTGGGGTAGCAGCTGAACCAGGAGGATCCTTAAACATGACCTGGTCATAGAGTTGGGAGTACTCTGCTATCCTTGCACCTGAAGAGGGAACACAGAGGACATAAAGAGGGTGTGAGTAGGGTTTGTTTGTATTATGATTATACTTAAACCTGCAATATCAGCAGGAAAGAGTTTGACATACTATCACATTTGTAGTTGATAATTTGAACTTATTGGTATACAGTTGCTTATTTACAAAGCCAGCAGATACATAGCAACATTGGCAATCATTGGTTGTTTTTTTTTGGCAACTTTGCTATTGCAGGTACAAGATTCACTCTATTTTTAGCTCCGTTTTTGGTCTCTACCAACTCCTGAGGGTATTTCACCAGCTAGTTGCAAACTCTTTCTGTCTGCTGGGCAGGTGGAATACAGTGGGTTTATCAGAGCTTTTTGCAGAAAACAACACAGTAAAACAGTAGTGGCCTGGAAAAACCAAAACAATGAGCTGAAAGATGCTATAAAGCTACACAGAGCTGAAGGGAACTGCAGAGTTGGGTGATAATTCTCGTGTGTTCATCACTACAACCCTTTTCATGTTACACTTTAATCATTTGATCCATTGTCATTATAAAGATAACGATTAGAGCCACTTGAAATATTAAAAAAACAATCCAGTTTAGTCTTAAAAACATGAAACCACATAAAGTCATGTGTAGGGATGTACTGATCTGATCCGCAAGATTGGCAATGGCACAGGCAGTGACCTTATTAAGCAGTTTATCTTCAGAGTAGCAGAGTATCTTCCAGAGGAGACAGATTCACGTTAATTCCATTTTATTTGTTAATGTATTTATAAAACATGGTTTGTCTGCACCCAGGTCAGGGTCGAGGCCCAGGTTCAGGTCTGGTAAAAGTTTACGTAAGGTTGATGACAAAAAACACAGAAAATATAACGCCTAAATATAATTATGGTGTATGATTGTCTCCACTTACAGTTAAGATGTGATGTAAAGCTTTATATTAGCTTACAGTAGATTCCTAATTGCGACTATCAACAGTCAGAAACTATAATTCTGAGAGTTAAATGTTTTGAGTTACCTATAGCTGCGCCCCCTTGTTTCTTCTCTTCCAAGATGGCTGCCAGATCTTTCTGCTTCTTCTCCGCTCTGGCCCGAGTACAAGTGTCTCCAGGGTCCATGCTCCTCATGCGGAGCAGCTGGTTGGCTTTCTTGATCTTCTGGCTATACTGCCGTGCCATCAGGAACACTCGGCTCTTTGATTTATCCATCAGGTCCATGGGGAAGTCCACAGATTCACTCAGCAGGAGAGAGGAGGAGGCCAGGGGGGAGTCCAGACCTGCCAGCTCCCCTGGAAACAAGCTATGAATGTCCTTGATGGAATTGTCCCTTGGAGGTGTGTTTCGTTGAGGAAGCTCCACCAGGTCGTCGTCTTCTAGGCGGAAGCTGCCACTGCTGAGGCGAGCCAGTCTTTTACGAATGTTCTTCACTGTACCTGGGAGGGGCTCTGGGGTGACCGGAAGGGGGCGTGATGTAGGAACAGGGCTAAGGTTTTCTTCTGCAGTGGTGCCTTCACTTTGAATGTCAGGGAGGTTGATGACCGGGATGGTGAATGATGGTGTGGAGGTGACAGGTGGGGGTTTAGGCTGATGTGTTGGGGGACTCTTGGTTGGAGGGCTGGCTGCTTGAGGACTTGTAGTTACAATGGGGCTCTTTGTAGGACTGTTTTTGACTGAGGGAGCCTTCTTAGGTGACTCACTGGCACTAACAGGGAAAGCAGCAGGGAGTCTATCAGCTTTCTTCTCATTGCTCTTGATGTAGTTTTCCAGGTCGTTCCAGATCTCATCAACCTGCTCTGACATCTTATCCCCTTTCTGTGAGCGATGAGAGAAAGTCTCGGAGGCAGAGGAGGAGGAAAAATCTGGCTGGTTGGTGTCTGGTCTTTCATCCTCTCCAAAGTGGAGGCTCTCCTCAGATACAAACCCTCTAAGGCTTTCAGTCAGGTCTTGTTCAGAGGCCAGCGGACTGTCCCTCTCTTGTTTTTGTTTGTTGCCTTCATTCGTTCCTTTAAGCTCTGTTGATGGTGGCTCCCTGAAACAGATGGTGTCATAGATGTTTTCCTCAACTATCTTCAGGTCACATGTCCCAAATGGCCTCCCCTCTTGTGTCGAGGACCTGTTGCTTTCCGAAGAACTCTCAGGTTCAATCATAGGCTCTGTGACCCCAGGAACCTCTGGAGCATTTAGTACCCTTGCTGCTTGGCCCTGGGAACTCTGTGCATCTGTAGAAGTTTCTTTCTGTGACTGGCTTTCGTCTAGGTCTCTTCTGACAAGGCCCATGCTCTTCAGGTCCTCATAGCTGATGTTGTCATACACATTTTCAATATCGTCTATCGTCAGCTGCTCGGCTGAGGATGATCCAGATATGTCATTGCTGGATGATTCAGTGTGGATCACTTCCAAGTTGCTGTGACCAGACTGGTCATCATCAGGACTCTGTTGAGCCTCCGTAGCCTTTTCCCCCGCACTGCTCGCCCTCCGCAGGACTCTGCTCCCATTTGGTGGAGGGTCAATCTGCACAGTGGGCACCTGTTCCACGTGCCAGCTGCAGGGCCGAGCTGTCTTGGGCGATGAAGTGGCCTCTGACCTCTCCGAGGGCACCTCTGGTTCCGGTCCGCTTGGCTCTGTGGGGACAAACATCTGGTAGATGTCTTCATCCTCATCATCAGGCTGCATGGTTCGCTGGCGGGTGGGGAACATGGCCCTGCGAGCACGGTGGTCTGCCCAGATGTTCCTCACAGAATGGTCACTCTCTGTGACTATAACAGAGGGAATGGGGGTCTCTGGAGGTTCCTCCATCACATTAGGTGTCCTGAGTAGTGGTGGGTGGTGACTTCCTTCCCTCACTAGGCATTCTCTGGCTCTCTGTAGGAGAGGGAAGGAGAAGTTGTTGTTTTACAGGTAGTTGAGGCAGACTAAAAACATAAATTGAAGTAGATTAAAGTACCATGGTATATTTGTGATTAATACCTGTAGGTCTGAAGGGCTCATGTTGAAGGTTTTCCACTGTTCTATACTATCGACAGATGCCTGAGGGTTCAGCCTCTTCCTGCTGCTTTTGCCAGGGACTCGCAGCCTCTTTCCACCTCCCTGAATGCAGAGTTTTTCACATTAACAACATGTTTGAAGGACTAAAGATGAAGGGGCAATCTTCAAGCGAAGGTAATATGTAATGAATATCACTTTAAACTCACCAGGCCGCTGTCATCTTCATCATCAGCATCTTGCTGATGTGGCTCCTCTTCTCGGTCACTGTGGTCATAGTGATCGCCGGGGTCCAGGGACTCCTGTGATTGGTTGATGAGGCTGCGGCTGCGACCAATAGTGCCCAAGGCCAGCTGGGACACTGGGGAAAGCAGGGTGGCACCCAGACTTGTTCGCTGGAGAGGGGCAGGTTTGCAAGAGTTTAGTCAAACGACGTCTGTCTGAGTGCGTGTGTGTGTGTGTGCGCGCTCATGCTTCTCAACTGGTCATCATCTCTGGGCGTCACTCACCTTTTCACCGTCTGTGTTGGCAGCATTTTGCCTGGCATTCTTCAGTAATTTGGATAGAGGTTCTGGCAAGTCAAACAAATGGATTATTGGTGAATTCTTAAAAGTTGAGCCTTGCAAGGTGTGGAAAAAGGTGTGTACATTTCTTTAGTGTTTTACCTTTCCTGCGTCCTCTACGAGGGGTAGGACCCTCCTTGGTCTGATGGGAATCCTTCTTGTCTCCATCAGGGCTGTAATGAAACCCTGGATGATCTGGAGAAATAATAGAATATATGTCACACAACAAATACATGACAATTAAAATGCTTGAAATATGGTAAAACCTATGACAAAAGAACATAACAATAAATATATATTAGAATATTATTTTAATTAAGTAATTTTCTAATATAATGTTATGTAAATTGGCACTTACGCATTGCATCCATCTCCAAAATTGCTTGCTTAGCCTAGAATCCAAGTAATAAAAAAAGGGTGAGTTCAACCAGTTAGACTATTGATTAAAATAAGCTTTGACACTAGGTGGCGACACATTACAGGCCTGGCTCAACAATTTTGCTCAGGTTTGACACTTAACAAGCAACCCCTTTATGTAATCACAGTGAACTTCTCTGTGACCTTCACCCCCTGAGACAAATCCTAACTTTCCACTTGCACATGGCCAAAGACAGATGAAAAGACAGAGAAGTGATTGTGGCTTGATGAAAATAAACGAGTGGAAGAAATCAGAGCACATGAAGGGAAAAACACAGAGAAAAAGCAGGGGGAATGAAAGATGGAGACATTTACAATACATCCCACTCAAAGTCTGTGTTTACACCATCAGTGAACAGAGAAGGAGCTGTCAGGAGACAAGCTGCTCTTACCTTGGCAGGGATTTTGGCAGGATGGTTTTCAAGTATGAGTCTTTTGAGGTGTAAGATCCACATGCGCTTGTCTTGCTGGGATTTGGCCTGGGGGCAAAACATCACAAAGAAGATAATATCAGACAGGAACTTTAAAGAGAGGGTCGGGGTAGACCCTTAAACATTTGGAACACGGCTTTCTTATGTCTTAGATTTTTTCAGCGCTCGTCAAAAACACAAAGGTTATGTAACAACGATGGCCGCAATAGCCTCTAAGCACTCAACATGTCTGAGCAAACACACTGAGGTGAGCCTGGACGCTCTGCAAAAAAATCAGACACCTGCAAATAATCATCACACTTTCTGATTCCACTCTTGCTCAATGCTGCAGGTAGCAGCATAGTTGAACCATAACATGTAATTACATTCACACTGACTTTGACTTCTTTTATGATGCGTGTGCTCTCCTTTGCAATGTTGTTATACCTGGACCGTGTGCTGAAGTTTGGGATTCTTGTAGTGAAACACGCTGAAACTCAGTGGTTCTTTAGGAATAACTTCCACCAGCATCAGGTTGCAGCACTGCAAAAGACAGGTAGGAAGTTTTTACTGAGAAGAAATGTTTGTATATTTAGTGTCTTTGGGACATGTCATGCTTCGAATAGCCTGACTCACCAGTATGTGAGCCTTGTATGTGTAGGTTTCTTCTCGTTTCTTGGTAATGAGCAGAAGCTTGTCAAACAAGAAGAGAGTTCTTTCGTTTTTGGCTCGCTGCAGACGAAAGGTTCCTTCAAGGACCAGCTCTCCATAGCCAATCAGGTCAGGGCCCTTCCAGTTGGTCAGCAGGCTTTGGATTTCCTGCAGAAGCCACCAAAAAGAAAAATGAGTGTGGGGAGTCAAACAATTCTGCATATTTTATTTAGCAGGAAAGACAATTGCAATACAAAATAGAAGATAAAAAAAAGGTCGTGAGGGAGGACGCAAGATGAATCATAATAAACTTAATTTGTATAGCACTTTTAAAAAGACAACTACCAAATGCTGTAAAATCAAAGCAACAGAAAAACTTTAACAGATAAAAGTTAAACCAATAAAATTATAAAGTAATTGCTGAGAATCTATTTTAAAAAAGTTAGTATTTTAAAGAGGAGGATAGAGGATGTCTGTTGTACAACTGGATGGAGGGAGAAACACTAAAGACAATAAAAAACAAAAAGATGAAGGAAAAGTAAAAAAGAAAAGGGATACGGATGAGAAAAAGTGAAGAGGACAAAACAACAAAAATTTCGATTGAGCCAATCCCTTCTCCAGACACGGAGTAAATACTTCCACACACATTCCTGCATTCATTTGACCCTTTTGGCTTCCAGCTGATAAAAGAAACAAGCATCCCTTTTATGTGTCCTCCTTATGCAAGGCCATCATTAGCCCAGTGGAAAACACAGTGACTTGCGTAAGAAGTGGGGAGGATCAGAGCCTTGGCTGATTCAAACCTTCACATAACTGTTCTGCAGAACAATAAAATAATCGGCTCCTTGAAAGGCTTGAAACTACTGTGTCTGTTTTAGGTATAGGAATAATGAGAGACATGGAAAGTGTGCAGGATACATCATAGAGGAGATCACACGCTCGACGTTTTGGGCAACTGGGACAACACTTGTTTGTATTGACAACCCCAGATAGACAGACATTTTTGTATCTTCCTCATTTAGTTTTTTTGTTCTTGTTGTACCTGCAATCTAACGGCATGCTCATGTTTCCTTTTCATGTCGTTGATGTGCCAGGCCACTCTCTGCATGGTGTCTATGGCTTCCTGCACAACCTCGTAGGTCTCTGTGTCCTTCTCCATGTGGTTGGCTATCTCCTGCACAGACAACACACACATGCACAATGCTGGGAGTCAGCACATGAAGACACGTGCAAAGGGGTGCACTCATAATACAGGCACCCATTTGTGTGTTCCTGCACATAAACACACACTCATGCATCCACTCTAATGCAAGCACTTGTACATACACAGGAACATACATACTGAGCACCATATGGCTAAACATTTGGCTTCTCCAGTGGAGATTGTCCTTGAGTCAGAAAATGCTGTTATTTAACTGTACACATCTATTTGTATTAGTATAAAGCATTAGAGTCTTGTGCTTGACTTGACTGACGTACGTGCAGCAGTAGGTGGTACTTGAGGATCCTCTGCACTGGCTTGAGCAGGTAGGAGCCCAGGGGCAAGGAGTGCCTCAGAGATTCCTGGCGCTCGCGGAAAAACTTGGCCAACGCCTTGTTCCTCATGCACTCTGTTAGCACAGCCACCGACCTGTGGAGACAAAACACAGCGAATAAGACATCAGGCATTTATAGTAAACTGTAATTGGACAGTGATGAGAGTTGTAATGTATGTCCTGGCAGACAATACAAAGAAAAGGAAAAATTCACTCCAGAGTGGACAGAAATCACACAGAGGGAAGTCTCATATTGTCTATAGATAAACTTTGGAATATATTTCACACAGAACAAGGCCATTATAAACAGGAGGAATGACAGACAAAACCTGTTCATATGGGCAGACATGAAAAATGGTGAACCTATCCTTTAATGTTTAATGCAATGAATGTATTTCACTGCTGGGTGTATTGAATCTGAAAAAAATTGCTTTTTACTATTTTTTAATTCTAATTTACTTAATTGTTTTATTCCACTGTTGGTTGAAGCCAATAGTAGATTGTATATTTCTATATATTTTTTATATTTCCTCAGATCTCAATCTCAATCTCTAATTTCCTAGACAGCACTAATTGGTTTTTGGTATATTCTAATAAAACAGCATTGTACAACCTTGAAAGACTTGAATTTATTGGTCATTGGAGCTAGTTTGCTGTGTGACCTACTGAGGAAGAAAGAGCCTTTTTCACAAACAAATGTAGGCTGTATGTGTGTTTGTGTGTGTGTGTGCATACACATGCACTGTGGAAAAAGACTGAGAAAGACAGTCCCAAAACTTTCTTTGTGTTGTGTGTGTGTGAGTGCGCATGCATGTGCATGTCTGCATGCCTAAATTCCAGTGAAGCTCCACACAGGCCTCACATTGTTCTGGAGGAAACCCGACCTTAGAGCTCAGCATGACCATGATACATCTGCAGCCTGTGTGTGTGTGTGTGTGTGTGTGTCTGTCGTGTGTGACCTTGGTTGGGGTCACCAGCTGTGGTGTGGATGTGGGAGAAGGTCTATCTCAAACAGCTGACAATAACCCATTTACACACACACAGACACACACACACACAATCAGCATTCAATTAGTCCTCATTAGCTTGTAAATTGTTTCTTCCCCACGTGCCTTTCTTTATCATACACTGTGAAAGAAAAGAGCCGGAGGAGAAGGTGTGTGCAGTATGTCTTGGCATAAAGAAAAAAGCCTCACGTTTCAGTCTATTTAAATCACACACAATATACACACTGACACACAAAACATCATTCCTCCCAAGTGATCCACACAGGTGTCCCATAGGACCACACTCACACTGAGCTTAATAAAACATTATCAGCGTTGGGTATGATAAGGTGACAAGTGTAATACCCCATCTGTCAGTGAGTGAGCTGTAACTCTGTCAATAGGCAGCGAATAAAAGAATGGAAGAAAAAAAATGGAGCACGAAGGAGGGAGGGAGGGAGGCAGGTAAAGACACCCTGAGGCACAACTGAAGGTAGACACTTTGACTCCTGCTGTGGTGGCTTCTATGGAGCATGTCAGTTTGTCAGAGAGGGGGGACAAAAAGGGTAACGCATTGATCGATGTACACAATGGAGCCATGTGAGACGCTGGGAAGACGTTATGTGGAGGTGAGATCAAGATAGAATGACAATGACAAGTAAATGGGTTTTTGTACAGTAGACAGTGTAGCACGCACACACATACTTGTGGCTCTTACCGTGGATAGTTGGTGCAGTACTGAGTATAAATGTGGAATTCTTCACTCTGTAAAACACAACAGGGAAAAATTAGATGTGTCAGGAAACAGGACGAACTGTCGAGAGAAGAAAAGGTGTGAGATGTGATGGTACATGCTGTAGTAATTGATAAACAACCTACACATGCTGATGCATTTGTGACAGCATTTTGTTTTGCTTTTTTGGTAAAGATTTGTAAAACCACTATCTGCTTATTTGGGTAATTTGTTTGAATGTATAGGCCTATATATGCAGGTTGGTATGTATAGTATAGTTCATATTTGTTTGTATGATATATATTGACTAAGATTATACTGACTTTTTCCCTGTAAAGCACTTTGTAAACTTGATTATGATGATTATTATTATTGTTGAATGCAATAAACCTTATTTCTCTCTATTTCTTTATGGTGACAAAATCTATCAGCAGACTTAGTACTGATCAGAGTGAACATCAGATCTATATTATTTTTGTCATTGTTAAACTATTGTGTCCTTGTAACGCAGTTTAATGTCAGATTGATTTGAAAAGTCCCTTTCCTCACAACAATAATGTTCCTTTGACAAAACTTGGATGTTCACAAAGCTTAATTACACCATCAAAGCAAGTTTCATGTGTCCGCTAATACATTTTCATATCATACGGAAATGATTTGAACACAATGGATGCCTGGAACATGCAAAACCACTCGTACTGTACGACCCTTTTAAGGTCAAGATTCATCATCCTTTTTTCTTTCATCACTGATTGTACCGTCTCTGCAGTGGTTCTGTGTGGTTTTGATGACTGGCCGGTTATTTCATGTTTATGGCTCTGCACACTCTGAGGCCACAGACAAGGCATCCTCTCTCCTCCGCTCACTGGTACTAATTGAAAGTCAAACCTGTAGCTTATGATTAGCCTGCGTCCTGGCCTCTAAGCCTCTGTTGATCCCAACAGCCCTGAGCACTTGGATTAAATATCCCCTCATACTTTATAGCCGCCCCTTTAATTGAGACTTTTCCCACCTTGCATGCCTCTGTGAACATCAAAGACATCAGAGAAAGCATGACTTATCAAAGCTAGAATGAACCTCTTTCTCTCTCAGAACGTATTTTCCATGCCATCTCTTCATCGATTTGTTTTACTTTTATGGATATTTTTCAAATTTTCTTCACTTTTATAATCCTGCATTCCTCCTTTAAAGCTTTTTCTGATCATCATGCTCTCTTGGAGGCCTGGAGATGAACCCTTTACTGTTGCATAACTGTGTCTAATTGAACTCTATTTGTGTCCATAAACATTTGGGGGTCGCAGGATGCGGACAGCCACCAGGAAGCGACATCATAAACACACAGAGCAGATGACAAAAGTCTGTCCTGGTTCATAATGCACGCACATACACACAGACACATACATACATACATACTGAGAAATGTGGACATTCACACACATTTTCAAACATATGAATCATAGTAAACTTACAGTAGGCAAAACTTGCATGTGTATGAATGTTTGTTTCCTGCTGTAGGTAAATATATATTCTTATTGAAGCCACATTAAACAATTCAACCTACCTACACAAACACTACATCCCAACCCAATACACTGAACACACACACACTCAGACAGACTCTCATGATTTGTTTGCCCGAGGTGCACCGTGGGAACCATCCTAAATTGAAGAGCAGAGCTCTCCTCCTCGTCTCCAGCAGTCTGCCGCCACAGACCAGGCCTAAACACAACCAGATGTGCCACCATCGATTTCGGATGACACATACAATAACACACACTCCTAATACACACTCTTAATATCCGTCTGGACTGTGAACACAAGACCACAAGATACATAAATGCTTCTATAGAGTTAAACTGAACTAAAACACACACTTTGAACCCAACCATGAAACCAGCAGACCTTGAAATAGCTCAAATTTATAATATACTTCCCTTTAAGAAATATATACAAGCCGTGTCTAAATCATATAATCAGCATATCCAAATGTGGCATGTGAGCATTGAAGAACACGGCAGCAAAAATATCCCTTTCCCTAATATCAACATACAAATTACGTAGAAAGTTTTTTAGTTTTACTAAATCAGCAGTTTTTGTTGTGATTTGTCGAGACTAGACTGGTCACAGTGACTCATCAGTTAAGCACTGAACATGACAGATCACTAGGGGCTAGAAAAAAACAAAACTTAAGCTCTAGTTGTAATTGAGCCCTCTGTGCTCCAGTCAGCATGTAGCAACCCATAAAACACTTTAAAGGCTTACTCAACACATAGCACAGTCAGGATTCAGCAGAACACGGAGGAACATGAGGATAGATCGCCAATTATCTGAGAGAGAGGACGAGATTTACAACTAGAACTGTCTCTTCTTCAAACACTGTGCTGGGTTGTGACTGTGGGCTGCTCAGACTAGAAATGTATTAGCTGTAAGCTCGCGTGTGTATCCAAACGTGTGCGTGTGGATTTCACAGCAGATAGTGAAAGAGAAGTTTTGTGGTTTCTCTGAGTCTTAGCAACCGTGACTAACCTTCAGCAATACAAAAGAACTCTGGTTACTATTCTGGTTACAACCCTTTTACCAGAAGTCAGCCTGTGTAATGATGAAGCCACCCACCCACCCACACCCACACACATGCAGACGCTTCCATACAGACAAATGCATGTTGGTCCTTGGATGTCTCAATGTAAAGGGGGTGTGAAGGTCAGGGATGACTGAATGTTTCCAGAAAAAACCTACTCACTGACAAATATATCATGCAGCTACTGTATGTTCACCTTAACATACTTAATATTACATACGTGACATGAATATTATTATATAAAGGAATTTAATGTAAGATGTTGGAAACATCTGCTCTTGAGTTTAAATCATATATTCCTTAGCAAATTAAGTTTCAGAGTTGTAGTGTGACTCTAGATGTCTAGATTTCTATTTTCCAGGACTTCTTGTGCTATTTCCAAGCTCAAAAGCACACTTGGACAAACTTCATCTGCTGATATGATTGAAACCACTAATGGACCTTTTGGTGAGATTGTTTTGCAACGAACGGCTATTTCCAAAGTCAATAGTGAAGTTTCAGTCTCAGTGGAGTAAAGTAAACCTCAGGTTGTGTAATACTGGTTTGTTTGAATCTTTATATAAATATCCGTTTTAGTCTACATTTGAATGAATGAAATCATGGCCACCATTTATGCACCAACTTAGATCAGTATACTGTAGCTAAACTGTATATATGCACATTAACTGGGTTTCAATTACTATTTAATTCATATAGATTTCTCTAAAACGCAAGTTTAAGTTAAGTTTAAGAGCAAAAAGTGAATCTGTGCTGAACAAAGGTGGCTGTAAAGAACTACACAGGTGAGGTGTGTGTGTGTGTGTTGGATAAGATCTGGAGCTCTTCCAGTAAAAAATTAGGAAAACTTAATGGTTTTAATGAACATCTGCAGTATGAGTACCAGCCTCACAAGAGAGAAGCAATCAGAGGCAGGAGGCTCCAGGCAGGATGTGATTTGGACTTCAAGAGGTGGAGCTTTGCTTTCAGCTGGCTTTGACCCAATTTAACTCCTGAATAAACCACACAGTAAGTACCACAAGGATATTATACTGTCTTTAGAATAAATGCTGTACTGTGCACAGAACACAAGTCAACAATAGGTTGTCTGTATTTCAGATTAGGGGATTATCTGAAATCGGCCTCTTTTTCTGTTGAGACTGTAACATGAATCAGTCGGTTACAAGATGTCATCACACTGGTTTGTTTGTGGATCTCAGCTAATTATGCAGAGCGCTGCTGTGGGCTGCAATAAAACAGGTTTGTCTCAACAACAGCTGCTGTATTTAGGGAGTCTGTGACGCTGACTGTGACTTGTTTTTTTTTTATACATGGTCAGACAGTTGCTCTGCGGTATTGGGTGTAATTGCAGTCGGGTAGGGAGGGAATGTAAAGTGTTTGAGAGGAAGTGCTGGAATGCAGCATGTTATCATGGGACATAATCATGCAATCATTTATTTTTTTTAGGGCACAGACGGGTGAGGAGCAGGAGTGGAATAAAAGCACAGTGATACCAGAGTTGCTCAGTCCATCTTTTCTTGATGAAGCACTGCTATTATGCCCCTCCTGTAAAAAGGTGATTATATATTTGGACGGTCCTTAAAATTCCTCTGTTGTTGACCCCCCCCCCCCCCCCCCC